GACAGCTCATTTAAACAGTGTATCATTATTCAAAAATAAAATTATACATACCAAGAGATTACTGTATAATAATACAAACATGAAAGCTATATGGATGGCTTAGTGCTTTCCTCTTGCATGTATCCACCATTATCTATCAATGTGAGAAAATTTTACTCACAAATCAATGTTTATCTTGTAAACATAAATGAGAGTACAAGATATTCCAGCTTTACAACCATGCATATTTCAGATAAGTCTCCACTTGCAGTTCTGGTCAGAAGTGAACACCATTCAACAAGAAACATTCAGTCCGCCCGTTCACAAAGTCATCATTCCAGAACCCGAGTGTTTATATGGGGAGGGAATCACACTTACCGCCTTTACAATGTCAATAACTGGTGCCTTGCCATCTGGATGATCTTTGTACTTAAGCCTGGTCTGCTCGCTCACAAGGGTCCATAGTTTATCCAAATTAATCGTAGGACACCATTTAGAGTTTCTTCGCAGGTGGTAATTTCTCATACCAAGCTAAAAAAGTAATATCACTGCAGCTGTACATTATCCCATCAGTGATACACTCAAGAGGTTACCTCTGAAGACATTATTCAATGTAAATATGAGATGAAAGTACAGAGTACACAACTTAATTGATTTTAAAGCATAAGCATCTAGCATGTGTACAGCCAATGCTGCACACAAACAGAACATGAGTTACATCTTAAAGTTTTATACTAATTTTACATGTCTTATTCTTGTAGTGGTAATGCATAAGACTTGTATTCGTAGGTACTCAGCTCAAATCTCAGTCAAGACACTACTATCCTGAGATTATTTACAGTCTCTGTTGACTGTTTCTCTTTTATGGAATGATTGCAGCTGTAAATGACTCACTGTAAAAACCTTTGTCTTCTGTGTGTGTCTGTTCATGCAAGACATCCATATGCATGAAAAAGCTCACGGTACCATCAACACAACTATTTAATTTTCTGTACGCTTTATTTTCCACCATGTATTTCATGTTGAAAATAAAATATGGAAAATTAAATTAGTTTATGTCAACAGTATCATGTAGGCATTTGCATTTGTAATAGACCAAAATCATGAGATAACGACAGCTAACAGATGTTTTGAAAATGTGACATAGTACAGATATTTGGGAACGACAGTAACAAATCAAAAACTGATTCAGGTGAAAATTAAGAGACTGAACTTGGGTAATGCTTGATACTATTAAGTGCAGAACCTTGTCGTCTCGTCTGCTGTCTAAAAACATAAAAATCTGAATATACAAAACTATAATACAGTGCGTACAATCAAGTGCGCGCCGCGGCTGCAATTTGCCGTGAGTCATACCATCGCAGAACGGATGCAGTCGCGGTGAGTGTTGCAACTCCTGCCCGCTACTGCATCCGTTCTGCGGTGGTATGACTCACGGCAAATTGCAGCCGCGGCGCGCACTTGATTGTACGCACTGTAGCAANCCACTGTAAGCAAACATAATGTACCAGTATTCAACTCTGGCACTCTCACCTCATTCTTACTTTATATATACTATTTACAAATGATAACTTATCATTAACATAAATTAGTTAAAGAATATACAAAAATATGATAATATACGGTTTCACATGGTAAGAAAAATCTTATGTCTGGACCTATCACATACTCATGGTACATATCAAACAAAAACTTATAAATTACACATTGTGAACACAAAGTTGAAGGTTTGAGACACACACATATATATATACGTATATATATCTGTGGATTCTTTAATCCTTTCAACGGCCAAACTATACACCACTAAATGGCTGGCTGGATGGATGGATAGATGGATGAATTATAATTTTGAAGCAACAGTTGCAGCCTAACTGAGGAACTATTCTGGCATTTTCCTGGAAGGCGCAAGAAAATCCTCTGTCAGGATAGCTGATATCCTGGCCAAGATTTAAACCAAGCACCTCCTACATACCAGTAGAGTTACTGTTGCATTAACCCATTAGATCAGTCACATATAGATATTTTTCCTCAATGGTTAAAAATGAATAACTACCTTTCCAAAGTAGCCTGGGTGATATTTGTCGAAATTGATCCTGTGATGGTGCATACCACCAGCATTACCACGACCACCAGGATGCTTTCTATGTTTTCCTGAAATCAGAGCGCCATCCCAACTATCACAATTCTGCAATAATATATTGTAGAGCATGCAATTTACAGCCTCCATGAACCAAATCTTAACCCCACCAGATATCAGATGCGGTTACAACAAAGGAATTGAGCTTGAAGTATCTCATTTTGCAATGATTATTTGTTCCATGAAAATTATACAGGTGAAACTTTGTATTCCAAAAATTTAACTTTTCTGTTTACTTTACACGTAAAAGACGAGCAAAACTTACGAACGTGTAACAGAAAAAGGTGTTCGTTAGGTGAAAATCTGGTGCAACTTAACACACTTCCTGGTCGCGAGAAATCGTAAATGGAGGTAACGCAAAACGACGGATACTTGCACTTAAGAACTTCTCACCACCCATCGAACTACGAAATAATAAAGTTTTGCAACGGAACTTAAATATTTTATTACGCTCCTACTCTCTACAAGAATATAGCTGAATGAAAATAATAAATGTACTGCACATCAATGACGAATACCTTTAACGTCCGTACATAGATGTGAAAACTACGTATTTATATTTGTACTCAGTAGTACTTTGTACCATAATATGTCCCAAATCTTTGACCTAGTCCTGTAAACCATCTATATCAGGTAAAGACACTTTAAAAGTCCAACACTAACCTATTCGTCCATGGCCGTGGCTTACGTGTCCCCGTAACTTCCTGGTTTTCTTCTTATGTGTAGACTTAAAATAAAAGACAGTTAAATGTTAGAAATGTTAATAAAAATTCAATCTTTCTGAAAAACTTCATGCATGCAATTCGGCTTACCAAAATTTAACGTTTCTTCCACAAAAGGCATGTGTAAAATCCTAAGCCCGAAATAAAAAAGTAGGAAATATTTTTAAAAACGCGCATTATAAAAATTCACTATAATGTATTATAACATCGCAAAAATGTCCTAACACCTTACACTGTGAAAGATTAGGTAGATGAAATACCATATTTCAAATAACATCACAAAACAGTAGAACTCACCATCTCCTTCCACGAGTCAGAGAACAGCGCTTCTAGCAACGAACAGCGCAAATCACGCATCACAGATTACCTACGTACACGGATTACTAAATATGGATAGTCTAATCACGGTTACTACTCAATACGTAAGCTTCGATCTAATACGAAAACCCTTCAGTATTTCAATGTTTTAACATTTGATACATTAATTGAACTGCTTACACTGTTTTTAAATTTTGATGCATAAAACAAATTTAATTATTTGGGTCGTTCAAAAATGATTCACACTCCATAACTCCGGAAAAGTAGTACTGTCAAATGCGAGCCGGTCCATGTGGGAAGACATACTATAATGCCGCCTATGGTCACGAGATGATGTTGCACACAGGTCGAACAGTCCATGCATTCATTCATTCTTTTATTAATCCTGTAGATCATGATCATCATGACACAATGATATAGGACAAGTATTTCAGCTAACATACATTATTAAATTACAACAATCTTAATACTAAAAAATTATATAAGATATACAACATTTTATACATTATATACTATATGCTTCTGCTTATATCAGTAGTCCATATTCGAGAATTCATCGTTCAAATAGTCCTCCGTTGAGTAATAACACCTCTGAATAAGTAACGTCTTCCAATTGACTTGAGAACTGATTTTTGTTTTCTATTTCTTTTATGTTGTTAGGCAATTTGTTGTAAAAGATACAGCCAGCTACTGAAGGATTACTATTATAAAGTTCTAAGTTTTGTCCATATATATAATAGTCTTTATTATTCCTTGTGTTATATGTATGTATTTGTTCATTCACTGTACAGTTACGCTTTTTTTTACATAGCCCTGCAATGTATCTTACTGCTTCACACATTCACACGAGGTTAGCATCCGTATGTGGGGAAGCAGCACCAAGTCGCAGAACTGTGTTTCGCTGGATAGCAGAGTTCAAAGACAGCAAGGACTGTGTGGAAAAAGGCAAAAGCAGTTTGCGTCCACCAACAGCATGCACACCAGACAGTACCCAGCACGTGTCTGACTTGATACTGGAGAACAGGCGCATCACTTTTGATGAAGTAGAGAACACAACAGGTTTGTCACGCAGAACACTGCACACCATCTTCAATCAGGACTTTAATATGAAAAAGGTCTGTGCTCAGTGGGTTCCCCATTGATACATCCAATATGAAAGCTGATTAAACCGCAACACCAAGAAAAATATTACAGTGCATTTATTGAAATTACATAATGGAACTTGAACTATGATGTACAAGCACATCACATCATATGAGAGTTTGACTACACTTCCTGGTGTTTGACATGTCTGTGGAACTTCATGCATCCTGTCACTTGCATGTGGTCTGCATTTCAAGTCATCATGTAACTTTGTAAAAATTGTAAAGAGTATTAGAAATCCTCCTGGTGGTAAAAGGTGGCTGTCCAATGAGTGAGGCTGACAACCTCACAGTGATCTGTGAGCTGATTTTCTAAAAGATGTGGGAGCTTTAACATCTCACAACCCTATGGCCCCCCACATCCTGTTACAAGGATATATTAGCCCTTTTTTCCTTTATCATATATACGAATGTAAAAGTCTTTGTTTATTAGGTGTGTTTTGTGATGGTAGTTGTCTTACCTTGTGCTGATGTTCCCATAAGCACATCCTGTATTTAGTATGTGCTGTGCAAAAGTAAACACTTTTTTTATATTTCATTGAACGCATATCTTGTGCATGTTCACTGTTGGTATTATTGATAGGAAAGATTTATGAAGTACATCACTGATAAGAGTGTCATGAAGACTGGTTTGGGCATTCAGGTAATATTACCTCAATAATCTGAGAAGCTTCAGTGTAGGTGTTACTAATGGAAAGGATTTATGTATGCCATTGAGACCTCAGATGGCATGGCATACATAACAAGTTGAATGACGATCAGTTCCAGAATTCAAATAATATTAAGGGCATTAAGTACACCACTGAGATGGCCTAATGTGGCACGATATACATACCAAGTCTCATGACGATTGGTTCAGGTATTTCAATAATTTGAGAGGCTATAATGTTGGTGTTACTGATGAGAGGGATTTGTGATATATGCCACTGAGACGGCCTCAAGTGGTGTGATATACTGCATACATGAAGACTGGTACAGGCCATTCAAGTAATATTACAATTTTGCTGTCATGTTGGTATTACATATGGGAGCGACTTAATTCTGACATTGAGATGGGCTCAGGTGCCATGGTACACACAAAGACACAAGACAGCAAAGTGATTACATAAGCCTCCTTTTATTTTTTCAAAATAACGAAAGTAGGCTAAAATATAAATTAACATTTAATTTATTACAAATATTTACTTATGTAACAATGAAATACATAAAGAAAACAGATGCACAAGTTAATATTAAGAAAGTACACAATTAATGTAGTCAGTAATTTAGGTATATGGATTATCTATAATATTATTATGCTTTGGGAGGTTTTGTGTTTTTATTTACTTATTATTGTTATTTTTCTTCACGGTTCATGAAGGTGATAGGGGGACAGAGGCCAGGTTGTGATAATCTTTGTTTTGTACCACTGAGATATAGTTAAATATTTAAGTCACATACAAAGAATGAAAAATCATACTTACAAGTTTCTTTTGAGGCACTGTCTACAGCATTTACTGGTCATTAAGCATTATTCTTTCTTTCTAACATTGTATTAATTGGTGTCACTGTCCTGATAAATGCACTAATGTGACGTCCCCTTCGACAAGAATGACACAACAATAGTTAGATCTTTCTTATGACATTAAAGTTTGGATTACTGAAGAAACTGAAGAAAACCATGACAAGTGTAAGAAATGTCAGGTGATATAACAGCCTGGACTTCCAAAATCCAGAGAGTTGATAAATAAATAGCTATTCACAAACTTACTCTACCTATCACTAAACAAACACTATTATTTTTTTCCATACAAATAATCATTTATTGCAATTAATTTGATATTTTATCATACGTCACAACATGGGTTGTGCAGATAAATCCATTGCAATGCTTACTGCACAGAAATTGGTAAATTTCAACTCTTGAAGTGAATACATTTATGATTGCTTCTAAGTATGCATAAAGGGGTATACTATAGTTCTGCTCCATACAGATTGCTTCACTTATAAAATAAGGGTAACTTCCTATGGCAAGAGTTTTGTATTAACACTTTGCGGACCAGTGACATATTTTTATGCCCAGCGCTTTTAAACGTGGCAGACCGGTGGCACATTATTATGATTTTAGGACACGTTATGTTGAAAAACACTATACCTTGCACTGGCGCCAGGCAGACACATGACTGGTGCATGATAGACCTCTTGAATGTTTGCTTCATAGTCAGTAACATGACCCAACTGTTTTCCTTTCCCACTCCAAAAGAAAATGCCTTTGTTTATCTTCCAGCTGCATGCACCAGGCAGGCAGTTACTAGTGCAACATGGATCAAGGTCGGAAGAGGCTGAGGTCCAAATGTTTTCTCGGAGAACAAGAAATATCTGACCTGTTCTCCAATGAGCTATCTGACGTGAGTCTTCTAGTGATAGCGACTCACAATCTGACAGTGAGTGTGGCAGGGGTGAACAAAAAATTGTTGCCACAGACAGTGAAAGTGACAGTAGCTCTGACGAAAGTGCGGGTAGCAACATTGCAGGGACAGCCACATGGGGAAAAGTAGACAAAACGCCTGCTTTTGGACAGTTTACTGGAAATCTAGGGGTGAAGCAAATTCCATTGGAACCAGATCCACAATTAACAATTCGAGCATGGTTGATGTTCAAAGGAGATATGGACAGGTAAAGAAGCCTGTTTGTATTTCCAAGTATAATACATTCATGAAGGGAGTTGATAGAGCCGATCAGTACTTGGCCTATTATTCTCTTCCTCGGAAAACAGTAAAGTGGACAAAGAAAGTTGCCTTGTGGTTTATAAATTGTGCCATTTTCAATTCATTTTTGGTTTTCAAAAATCTAAACCCTCATTCAAAATTGAAATAAAAGGCATTTCTGCTGAATGTGGCAAAAGCCTGGGCTACAGACCAGATGGTGGCGGCAGACACAGACTTAGTGCGACCGGGTCCATCAACTCCCAACCCACGCACGCCTCATGTGGACCACCCCGGACGACTCTCGGGTGATATGCGGAAACATACCCTCGTGAAAATTGTGAAGAATGAACATGCCAGGGGGAAGCAGCCTTCTAGGCGATGCTGTTTGCGCAGCACACAACAAAAGGAGTATGACTGTCTATGTGTGCAAGTTCTGTGTAACGCCACTTCACAAAGGGGAATGTTTCCAGAAATATCACACTCTCAAGCACTTCTAGGAGCACTGATGTTCTCCAAAAATGTTAGTTCAAAAAATTAATTAGGAGATTTTATATTAATTTTTAAAGTGAACAGTGCACAAGTTAGGGTAGTAGGTTTAAAAATGCCGGTCCCCAGGGTGAATTAAATATTTAAATTGCCAGTCCGCAAAGTGTTAATTTCTATTCACCTATAGGTGTTATATTTAGACAGGATTTTCACAATTTGGCATCAAGCAACATTGATGTTTAAAGTTTCTGTCAGTGGGTTTCTAGGTGTTTATAATTACATAAGCATTTTTATTGTTATCCTGTATTAAGTGGCTGGTGAATATCACCAAGTGGTCATTTTGATGATGATGATTATGAAAACTCAACATGAATATTAAAGGTTGTAAAATATTAAGCACAGTAAATGAAAAGTACACAATATAAACATGGTACTGTACAACTCTATCCTGACTTGTGTTTAAATAATAAAAATACAGTTATCAATTTCCTTTATTGAAACACTCAGAATTACCGAGTTTTTGGTCTCTGTCCATCGTCTGGTATTCTAGAAACTAGAAAACATAATGAAGAAAGTCATCTTCTGGGTTTTGGGGCCAAAACCCAGAAGACGACTTTCTTCATAGTCATCGCCGTGAAAACCTCAAAACTTACATAGAAAACATAATGTTTCACAAACCGGATCTGTTTCTGTCTGCGGGGGGGGAAGACACCTACTCTGACTTTCTTCATAGTCATCG